ATGGACAATATATAGCACTATATAATACAGACATGTCATTGCTGTGTGATATATGGACTGAAAAGAGTTGCACATACAACAATACTTGATACAGAACAATGCATCTCAAATATGTAGCATGACATAAGCTGATACATGTTATACAGATAATTTACATAATCAATACATATCTTTATACCCCACATCCTACATAAACAAGAGACTCTCCGAGATCACAACGGATCCACTGCTGCTGCATGCAATCAAGTTCAGATTCCAACCAACTTCAACGTTCCATGATTAAATTTTGTTTTAAGCGAGATGTAAAGTTAGCGTTGGCTGGAGGCGGGACATGTGATCTGAGCACGCGGGCTAACGAGATTAAATATGCACATCTTGGTGGTAGTGTGTGATGGCGACATGGCCCCACTAGGTCACACAGCTAGGAGGCAAAGGAAATTCCTAATTATGTGGGGGAGTTAATGAATTAAAAATATCTCCATCAAGTGAACCATGGATGTTGTTAATATGGACAAGTGTTTTATATGCCTTAAAGTTCCAAATGATGCATTTTTTTCAGGTGGCTACAAACATGACTCAAATCTCTTGATGTATTAAATGAATATGTCTTCAACCCTTTCTGAACAGCTGTGTTTCCCTGCTTCCTATTTGTACCTGGAGGAAATGTCTGACTAATGGCAATGACATAGCAACAAGATTGGTACAACAAACTTATGATAAAGGAAGTTGTTTACCACACAAGTAAATGAAACAAAACTTATAATAAAAAAATATAATCAATGTCTCCATTTGTTTAAATATGGAAACATCAACAAGTTGAAAGTAAGTCCAAACTAATCTACATTTATATATAAGTGTGAATATGTCCTGGGTGTGAGAAGAATGTGTTGACTGTTTCAATTCTGTTTGTTTTAAGTATAATTAGGGGAAAATGTCTCCCATAACCCATGTGGGTGGCTAATACAACAAAAAGCTTTATATTTTATGTATTTTAACTATGTGTTGTATTGGGCGAGACTTAAATAAATAATCTCTCTCTCTATCATGACCAAATTCCTGGGAATAGAACAGTCAGCATGGGCATCTACACTAGCCTACATAAGCCACATGACATGAATAAACATAACATTAAACCTGTGCTGTAGGCGGTGTCCTTCCGTACAGTTCCTCCCCACCTGTCCCAACACCAGGTAAACCTCCCCACCTGTCATAGCACCAGGTAAACGTGTCTCTTGTCCCCACACGGCTGACAAGTCTTTATGATGGATGTTTGACTGCTCAGTGCTTCAGTCCTCCACTGCACATCACACTAAGTTCAGGTCACCTTACAAGAAGCTGACATTGGCTGCAAGGAACCAATACAATAATTAAGGGCTCCCTAGTATGGATAAGTTCTAATGACTTTACTGACCCTAGTGTATGACTCAAAATAAGTTAAGGATCACCTGATTCTTTCAGATTACTGTAGTTATCTCTCACAGCATGACAGTAGTCAAAAAGAATCTGATGATCTTAAAGGTTTTTGAGTCTGGCCCAAACTCGAAGTTTTTACTGAAAGCTAATACACAAAACTGAATTTCCTCACAGTTTTATCTTTTTTCTGGGAGAGTGATTTTATTGTGCTCAACATTTTTTGTTTGCAGTAAGCTCAAATCAAGGTGTTGCCCATGGGAACAGTCACCTGATGTCAGCAGTAGCCCTTCCCTTGATGACTTCTTGTCATGTGTGCTGCAGTTATAGAGATACTCTGTCAGCATGTCAGTGAACCATTAACAGAGTGAGTAGATGTTTAGTCATCTGATGCAAAGTTGCAGTATCTGCACGATGGGGGGCGCAAAAATGGGATTAACGTATTTCAGTTACATGTGGAACTCATGCCTGACACAATGACCCATATTTCTCCCTGTTGTAAGGTAAAGGGTTAAACGTTAAATAGTGACGAGGAATGACGTCTTATGGTTGTACAGTTTTGATTTTCGAAATCTTTACAAATCAGTTCAATCACCATTTTTCTCAAAATTTACCAAAGCTGCCATGAATCATGAAATTGTAATTGATTTGTATTTGGTTGGAAAGTTTTTCTTACAGATGGCACAGAAAGGTACTCAGAGCCAGCCTATGACTGTATGCATGACGAAAGGTTCAGCAATGGTGTGGGTGGAACTGCAGTAAGTACATGGTTGCCAGTCTACTTGCAACTGCTGCATATCATGAAATATTTATCAAAGTAATTCTTCTCCGCTTCAACGCAAATAATTAGATCCCCATTAACATGATTCATTCCATTCCCTACCTATCTCCACGCAGTTAACCATGCTTGTTCATACTACTGAGACAATAGAGGTATGATTATATGCTATGAGGTATGCTGATCACATCTCAGTTTACATATTGTATTCACAACAGGAAACACTGGCATATAAAATACCTGATCAGAATATCTAGGCCACTGGTGCTGACAACAGTGTCTCCTGGGTCATATATCCTCTCCTGTGATGTCAAACCATTGTCACTATACTGGCAAGGTCCTCTTGCCATTGTGATGTCATACAACTGTTACTCTGGGCTTGTTTTTACATGGCTCTCCAGTGTGATGTCATACCAACTATTACTAGTTAAATGAATAAAATATTTTTTTAAAAACCAAACTATTACCAGTTGATTGTATAGTATTTCTCACGTTATCACTTAGCCAGTGGCTAAGCCTGTCAAAGGCATAAGATAAGATATTTTATTGCGCAATGCTGAAACAGTGACACTATTCTATACACTACATAAACAAGGCATATATGAAACAATTCTGATGACAAATATATTCAATGAAATGTTTTGCCTCTTTCTGAATATTTGAGTTACTTTACACACTGACAAAGAAAACATGCTTCTAAGTTCACACTTCCATCTATGCTGGCCCGAGGCAGGAGGCTTCCTTTGCTAACACAATGACAACAATAACTAGACATCGACACAGCCTCAAATCTTAACACAAATACACACACTCATTAAGTATTAGCACACTGTTTTGAGAAACTCAAGTGGTTAATGTTTTGACTATAATAAGAATAACAAATGTGTTACGGTTGGGTGACTGACAAAACAGCAATTAGCCATAGATGATGGTAATCAACTGACAACACTCCACAATAGTCACCAGACCACAGCAATGCTATGTCGATCCTCTGTCAATCCCACCTCACACCCAGATACACATGACTGACTCAGAAAACCGCCTCAGTGGAACAGCTGAGTCGGCAGAATGCACATCTCAGACAGGAGGAGAATTAATTAATCAAAAGAGTACAAATCAAGGTTATTAATGAGATGCACAGCAGTGGGAGGTAGCATATGTAGTGTAATGTACCGTCCATAATGCCACACTATCAATTTTGAAAAGTAATATCACATCATGTCACTATTATGAATATACCATACCAGAGATTAATGGCAACTGTGTATATGGAAATAGTCTATCATCAACTATTCATCCTGGTTAATTACATTCTGGTTGTCAGGGTAACTATGATATTTTGAACTTTGTTCTATTACTTAACATAACCAGTGCAATAAGCTTTCTTTCATCATCATTATTAGGGCTATCAACCTGGATAAGCACTTCACAGACAATCACTACTATCAGCTAGTCCCCTGATGAAGTGCCAATGAGGCCACTGAAGAAACAGGCATATCTTAAACATGCCCATCTTATCAATGAGGTTACTTTGCCTATCTTAAGAGGATTTAACATGAATGGCTTCTGGGTTACATAACATTTATGTAGATATCTCAGGTGATTATTTTACCATTATATTTCATGATTAGCAGTAAATAACTCAACAAAGCTGATATTCTGCATAAATAGTTCAACACTTGAAATGTAAAATAATGCATTTTTCAGCTGTAATAACAGTGGTGATGTGAAAGTTGTACAAAATGTCAAACAGACTTTGTTTTGAGACCATACCTTAAGGTTTACAAACCTATGTTCTCGTATACCAGTACTGTTTAGAAACAATCCTGAACAAAGACGTATCATATTCGGGTCTGATCTAATCAGTCCCAAAACACAAACGTGTCAACCCAAGTCAGTCATGCCTGAATGAACAGGAATGAACAATGATCCCTATAACGAAATCTGATTACCATAAGGGGGTGAAAAGATGATGACTGGGGGTAGTGGTAGACGGAAACATTAGCGAAAGTTGACTCGATTGTTGTACTTCAAAAGAGACCGCCTGGCGTGTCGATCCCGGGGAGATGGCGGTTCACACTACGTGGGGGTTCGGGATTTGACAGACTGACCTCACACCTATTTTTGTAAACAAGTTTTGTATCAGGGAAAGGAACGGTATCTCAGAACAATCTGTTTTGCAGTCTTGACTGAAGGATATTCCCTGCTTGTTTACGTTGGACGATGTCCGAGTTTTCTCTACGCTGAGGATTATGAATTGGTCTTGCGGATTGAAGGATGGTTTAAGAGTGGCAATGTTACCGCTTTCTCAAGATGGCAAAAAGAGAACAATAAACATAACATTTGATTCTTCGGAAAAAGAAGGATTATAAGGCCACGGCTATGGATGCTCGTTTTTTCCACCAGATCCGAAGATTGTTGTCGGCATTTTCTCCACTGCCGAAACCAAATCAGATTCCTGAAGTAGCCACGATTAAAATGATACAATTTCAGAACATTGTAGCTATCACCGCGTTAAGTTTGTCTTTGATCACGTCACGACTCCGTTCGGGAATGGCAACTTCGTCACTGGTTTGTTGCACAGTGTGGAATTAATGCAATATACAAAGGGAATCCTCTGTCTCGGAGGAATAAGCGGGAGAAAAAGTGATAACGCTTACATGTGAACTATCATCGATTATGTCTCTTTTTCAGTCCCCTTTTCCCAAGGCGATTTAATCCATTATTTCACAAACCGATCCCAGACAATTTTCAACACGAGGCAGCTTCTGACTTTCACTGAAAATCAGATTCTAAAATGAACATAACTTACCGTCGTGGTGAATGGCGGATTAGACAAGTCGATCTCATCTTCAACTAACTTGTCCCTCAATATATGTTTGAGTTGGAGTTTAGGGTACGTCAACAGGGCTGTCTTCCCAGCGTCGTAGGCCTCGGCGCTCAGGCCTTGTGGTGGGGATTCTGGGGCAGGGCCCAGGTCCGCGAACACGACTGTCTCCTCATAACTGTTTTCCGACGAGATAGGGTCCTCCAATGTGAAATACACTGCCGTTCCTCCCTCCTCTTTCAGTATCCGTACGGCGCGCAGGAGCTTTTCTCGGTGATCGTGCTTGGTGACACCGATCGCATCCAAATCCGCCTCTCCGACTTGTTTACACACTTCCAAGTCGTCATAACCATTGTCTAAGAACGCTTGTGTGTAGTGTACAAGGTTCAAAGAACGAAGCCATCCTTCCACTATGCTATCCGCCATTCTGCTGCATCCACGCTACAAAAACTGTCGCAGATTTTCACTCAATACATTCACATCTCGCAAGCTAACCACTGTCGTCTGCGCCATGGATGGAAACCTGCTACAAATGATTACACACAGTGTAAGGCTCGTGCGATGCGTGCGCAGACCCCGTTACGTGACGTCACGGGGACTACCTCTGTTATTGTCGGGATTTCCCTTTGATAACACGTGTTCGTGGGGAAATGTAAACACGGGGCGAGAATGCTACAGACATTAAAATGAGGGTCGCTAATTAATTCACACATTACTGTAATAACATTCAACTCTTTCATGCCACCATAAATTACGTAATCGAAGGAACAAACTCCGTTTTATTAGCTGACGTAATTTTATCTGCATTTATAATCATTGTTAAGGAATAGTTTCCTTGACTGTCACGGCACATTGCCGTAACTTCGTTTTATTGCTGAAACATGATCGTATATTCTCATCATTTATCTTAAAACAATCCCAATAAAACAAATTTAAGCACACAGATTTTTCCTTTTTAGCAATAAAAACATTGCCATAAAACTGTCAAGTCGTTATAAAAAATTGGGATTTTCGAATGCAGGAAATTGATGACGTCTGTGTTTGCTATGCGGTTGTATCAGGGTAACACAAAAATAAAATATTGTAACTAGGAAAAACAAATCCTCTATTACCCAGTGTGCAACATCTCCATTATAATTATTATTATCAGTAGAAAAATATTGTACATATACTCCAAAGGGTTACAGAATAAATAATTACAATTCTACCTTATGACAGTTTCCCCTTAGTACCTAGTTATGGCAATAACATAACACACTGTCTGTGAACACAGAAAAAAAAGCACTGGTGGAACCTACACAATGAACAAAGGACATTAAGACGCCTAAAATGCAACCTTGGTCTTAATAATGGCTTGGTCTTAATAACAGCAGCCATTGCTATAACACAACTGTGAGGGCCAACACGTGTTCCATTGCTTAACAAATATGTCGTCATAACTGTTCTATTCAAAACCAGTTGTAAAATGATAATGTAAATTTCATTATTGGTTCTACAGTATTTATATCTACAATTAAATTTCCCCGAAGAATATTACAATACATGTATACAGTGAATACGTGTTCATAATTGAATCAGTTAATGAAACTAATTAGCTTTGCCATGACGTGACTGGGGGACGACCCAGAGTAGTACAACTAACGGTACTAGTGAGTACAGCGGCGAGTGAAATATGAGGTATACCATATGAGGTGCTGAGATTGCTGAACTTGGGGACTGTTCATAATCTATGGCTAGGTGGGTGATGATAATTTTATAGGGGGTGGGGTTTCATCCATTTTGTTCTGGGGAGGCAGGGGGGTCATCAATTTTGTACACATGTACTAGGGCGGTCAGCAATATTGTACATAAAAATATTTTTTTTTAAAATATGCTTAAACATTATGGGAAGAGAGGGGGGTCACTGATTTTGTACATGACATGCAGGGCGGGGTCACTTACTTTGTACATAAATTTTAGGGGGGTGCATTCACATTGTACATGCTTCTCCATGAAAATCATCATCACACCCCCCACCCCCATCCCCCAGCCATAAATTATGAACGGTCCCTTGAGTTCACCTGAATCGACCAGAGTTTTGACATTGAACGCGAGCAGTGATAGTAGCACCCTCATTGTGTGTGATGAAAACACTGAGTACTGTACACTCTACACTGGGTGATGGAGCATATGGCTCGGTATAAACACGGCGTTGTGACGTCCCAGCCCAGTACAAACGTAGGTTCATGCCTTGGATTAATCATGGAAATAGGTCACGTGTAATTTTGTCGAAACTTTCTACTTTTGATTGTGATTCACAACTGTCAATCATACTGCAATGTGATTCAGCATAAAGGAAAACAATGACAAATTAACACGTGGCCCCAGCAAAACACTCCCCATTCTTTCAAACTTCGATAACTAATATCTAAGTTAATTGGACGCGGTGTTGTCATTAATTTCCACAGCCCGCTGAGATCAAATCAGGAATAAATAAACAACACGATGAGCTAAATTCATTAATAAAAGGCTTTGGCGAAGGCAAAAAATCTAACAAATGAATTAAGCGGACATATCTGGGAATAAACCGGACTTGGTCAACTCGGCTGGCGCAGCTGTCCAGCTTGGTCTAATCCGGTTATCAGCACCAGGAGCACGCTGTCCGGATTAAACTAAATGAGGGCAGACAACGCATGTCTTCACGCCACCATAGCCTTCAGTTTTCCGCTATGAATTAATTCCGGCATTCTCTCAGTGTCTGCTCTATAACCTGGTCATCCCCGGTCCGAGGGGATGAATAGCGAGGCAGATGGCTGTGTTTACAATGATGTCGTTCATGGCGGCGTAGCATGACACTAATTGCAAGGATTTGCACATTCTGACGCCAACACTTAATCCTGAAATTAGGTATTTTAGGTATTAATTATCGATAAATATGATATAATTGTAGCGGTATTTGTGAACCTGACAATATTTCAATCAGTTTAATGTCCACTGTTACCTGTTTTCTCCTGCAATATGGCAGCGTAGGGTTTTAAATTTTTACGAGCACTTACAACGAGGATGGTCATGTAAACTTGCACAAGGTAATAATTAATAGTTTAAATGATACTTTCTGAACAAATTATGTAAATAACAGACTGGGGACTATATACTGTCCTCTTATCTGGACATGCATGCGCTTAGCACTCAGTACAGCATTGGAGCAAGGCTAATGGTCATGGTACCGTTCCCAGCGATCGTACCGTTACTTCTAAGTCTATGTAATGCATATGAGTTAAGATAGTCGTAGGTAAGGGGAACCACGTACATAAAACAACAGAATACTTCATAATACTGTCCACTAGATGGACTGATGTATGTTGTAATATTGTCGAGGAAACACAAAGGAAAGTATTTGTCTTCTAAAGTCAATTATTCCACCATGTGACGTATTTAACACAAGACAAGGAATATTGTGATAACGTCTTTATCTCTCTCTCTTCTCTTCTCTCTCTCTCTCTCTCTCTCTCTCTCTCTCTCTCTCTCTCTCACACTCTCTCATATACATATTTCTTGCCCTTTGGTCACGTTGGAATAGGAGCGGTTATAAATTGAATATAATTTATTATGGATGGGATATATTTCCCGGGATGCTAAAACAACAATAATAACAAATGTGGTAATATGTGGAACAAGTTTTAGCTTGGGGTAATATAATGAAGGATCTCTGGTGTATAACAGTATGTTTAACACGAGGTAGAACAAGGTGAATTTGGACCAGTGGTGATCGTTCATGTAGTCCCTATGACGTCACACACGTCACATCAACGTGTGGTCGTGTCGCTCCTCACACCAACACACATTATCACCTGGTTTACACATCATGTCGTACTTGCTCACAACGACCCCGTAACATTAGGCAGGTATATACCATACATATCTACTGTGTAGTACATGTTGTGTAGCAGTGGAACCTGTGAGGAACACGTTCACAAACAGAACCTAAAAAACGTAACGAGCACTGACGAGCAGTAATAAGTTGGTATTTACACCCAGTGTGTGGTACCTGAGGAAGTAGGAACTTTGACACAAACGACAAGGAACAGCTATATCAATGGGTCTAAATCGCGTGACTGAATTATATTATTTTTGAAGTACCGTACAGGTTTGATATTTTGACATGGTTGCCCACAAGCAGGCTGTTTAGATGCCCTGTTCGTATAACGTCTATAAACACTTATTTTAAAATACAACATGTAATTTTTGTGATTCCAACCAGTACCATCACATTGACAGTTAAACGTGGGCGTCAATAGGGAAATATTTCCCCGCGTCCCTAACACACATGTAGCGTTAATGGAACCAATTAAAGTATTGACGGGACTATATTCGGGAAGCCACAGAACGTGGCGTCACACGTCCAGGTAAACAACACACACACGAGTGGCAGTGAGTGTCTAAACCTATTCAGGGAGCGTTGATTTTGACAACTTAAAAGCGCTTCTTGTGAGAGTGTAGGTCTTGCGGTACTAGAGCACAGTGCTTTACAATGACGAGGAAACGGGGACACCAAGGAGTTTAACACCATGCAAATCGAAGTGAACTGCCCTCAGGGTGCAAGAACGGACCGGATACACCAGAATACCGACAGTCCGATGCGCATGAATGGGTAGATAAAATAAGACCTACTTCAACCTTGTATGAAAACGGACAGTGGAAAGAAAGTTTTAGGTGCTCATTGTACTCATTGTATGAAGCCCTATACAAGTTGTACAGACAGAAATAGTGTTTTGATAAAGATACTTTGAAGTATTTCCTGTCCAGCCAGACTGGCGTCTGTATAGTCTAGGTACTACAATCAGAACCACGACATGTATTGGATTCCAGAAATACACGTTAAACATCCTACAGAGTGATTGTGATTTGTGGGGAAGAAGTATGCGGTACTTCAAATCAATGTTAGCGCCGTATTGGATAAAGCGGTCTTCGAGCACGTGTAGACGTATGAGATGTACGAGACTGATGTAGATGTATGGCAGCATGCGATGCACGTGTACAGGCAACCAGCAACAAACCACAGTAGCCATATTATACCGACTGAACCCTTTACCGGATTGTTCATAAAAAAAACCCCAAACCAA